ACTAGGAGCCCTACCATATGTTTTCTGCATAAACGTCACAGTGGCGCACCGATGTAGTGGATGTTCGGGCCTAAGAGGGGTGGGTAGTTGCGGGTGTTCGGGCCAGGATGGGATTCCATTTGTGGCCATCCAGGCTGGCGGGGGGGGTATTTGGGGGTGCACAGCCCGGCAGGGGGGCATTTGGGGGCAAGCAGGCTGGCAGGGAGGGCATGTGGGGGTGAGCAGGACGGCAGGGGGGCAGTTGGGGGCAAGCAGGCTGGCAGGGAGGGCATGTGGGGGTGAGCAGGATGGCAGGGGGGCAGTTGGGGGCAAGCAGGCCGGCAGGGGGACAGTTGGGGGCAAGCAGGCCGGCAGGCAAAGTGGTTAGGGGCAATCAGGCAGGCAGGCAGATGAGCGGTTAGGAGACAGCAGTCCCGGATTGCGAGAGGGATGTCTGACTGCCGGTTTTTAGGCCCAATGCCATCCCCCGAGGCGTCCCAGATTGAAGAGGGTGCAGGCCGGGCTGAGGGACAACCTCCCCCCCCCCCAGTGCACAAATTTTGTGCACCAGGCCACTAGTAGGATAATAAAACCCTAATATGCAAATCGACCAAAACTGCAGATCGACCCATCGCTATGACATGCACTGACCACCAGGGGGCAGATGCTCAATGCAGGAGCTGCCATTGGTGGTCAGTGCGCCCCCACAGGGGGAGCACCACTCAGCCAGAAGCTGGGCTCATGGCTGGTGAGCGCAGCGTTGGTGGCCGGAGCCTCTCCTGCCTTTGCGGCAGCAGTAAGGACCCCTTGGGGGATGTCCGCCTGCCTGCTTAGGCCTGCTCCCCGCCAGTAGGCAGACATCCCTCAAGGGGTCCCAGACTGCAAGAGGGCGCAGGCCGGCTGAGTGACCCCCCACCCCCAGTGCCCAAATGTCATGCACTGGGTCTCTAGTTCAAGTATAAAAAAAATTAAATTTTTGCCTTCATGTCACCTGTTTTCCTCAGAGTTATTACTTTTAGCATTTTAAATTTGAGAAAAATTGTGCACAGCTTTAGCAGTCATACTAATAAATTAACATTTAGCAGGAAGGGCCTTTTTGTTGTTTTTCTCTCAAGGAATCTCTGAAAGGAATTATTCAGAAAACAAGTAGATAAAAAGGGTTATTTTAAAGTTTAAAATGGGTAAATATTTAGTTTGGTAGTCAATAGAATTTAATGGGAATGAAAAAATATTAAAGCCATTTGAACTAGATTTATTTAATGAGACTAAACATGTCATTATCCTCTTTTTCTACATGGAATAGAGAAAAATTCACTAATAAAAATTAATTGCTACCATTTATTGAGCACTGTATTTCTGCTAGAAAATGTTACTTGCTTTGCATACATCACTTTATGTATAAATCTACTCTGTGAAGTTGGTTTTATTGTTCATCTTGTCCTAAGAAGGAAACTGAAACCTATGGTCACAGAATTGATAGTATTAAAGCAAATTTTTTAGTGCAGATTCATTTGCTTCTAAAAGCCTATATTCTTTAGCACGACTACTAGTATTTAGAGATGAGTTTAAGCACCTAGGACTATTCTCAATCTACACCAAGCTGGATCCAAACAAATGATCCATTCATTTTAAATTGTCTGACTCTGGGTGAATTGTATAACCAGTAATTCACCATGAGTAGCCTCCTCTCACACAGTCAACAAAACAATTTATAATAAATAATGTGGGTGATTAGATTGGAAACTTAAGCCAGAGATGATGGAAGAAACATTATAAAACATAATCATAATAAAACCTGTTAAGCTCTTTTTATCTGAATCATAATGTGTTCTTATTTGAAGTGAGTAGGTTGGAGGTTGATAATGGCCAAAGGTGTTTCAGTTATTAAATAATAAATCATCCATTCCATGGTATTTTTTGCAATATCAAATCACTTAAGAAATGATTAACTGCATTAATAGTATAAGCAGCATTATATTCCTTCAGAATTCACAGATAGAATGAGAAATGGCATAGTTTAAAATAAATTCTAAGCAAATCGGAATCATTAATCCAGCTTCATTCTGTACCTTCCCCTTTAACTGACTTTGACAGATGTTCATCATGGGAACTTTTTTTCTACAAATTAGAAAGAAACCACTTGGCATCACCATTGAGAGGAAATTGATGGTTGACCTAGTAGCCCTGAGGTTACTAGAGTACATGATACACCTCACCGTCCACGTATAATCTCTTTTATTGTATTTTGTAATAGATGACAGCCTGACAGTACACTTAATCATAATCTGATGCTACATTTAATAATATTTCAGTAATATATGTCTTTCTCAAAAATATCCCAGTCTTTATAATTGTGTTTGTCATTAACAAATTGTCAATTAAACATCTGCCAAATTTTAAAAATCACAAAAAATATTT